AAGAAAATTAGCCCTGAACAGTCGAGCCTCGGAGGGCATGGCTCTGTGTGGATGTGCCGGAGACCGCCTCGCATGGCGAGTATTTGACACGAAGAGACACAAACAGTCATGTTCTGCATTGGGCTGTTCACCTCTCACTTGTGTTGATGTACAGACGTCCGAACCTGGAGAAAATTTTCCTAAGAGTTTATTCGAGCCACACAGACGACACACCTGGAAGCAAGATCTCAGCAGACTGAGAAAAATGCTCCGGAGAACGACGGTTCTGCGGTTTCTTTTATACATTTGGAATTAAGGAAGGAACGGAGGCAGATCACATGGAGTCGGGAGAAGGCAGGGCGGGCACTGGATTGCTCCGGAGAACGACAGTTCTGCGGTTTCTTTTATACATTTGGAATTAAGGAAGGAACGGAGGCAGATCACATGGAGTCGGGAGAAGGCAGGGCGGGCACTGGATTGCCGGCTAGTTAAATAAAATCCTGTGCTCTTTCGAGGATGGATTCGCTTGAGGGGTCTGAAAGGGGGTTTTTCAAAGCTATGTTACCCCAGATGCACAAAAACAGGGCACAGGGTTCGCTTAAGTCAAAGATAACCTTTTACAAAAGTCATAGGCCTGGGGTGGGACTATCCCCCATGAGCTTCCCAGCTAAGACTTTATCATGGGATCACCCCGTGAGGTTACTTTTGGTCACTGGACTTGGCAAATTTATTACAGAGCCCCTTTTCCGTCCACACTTGTTCGATGATGCCACAAATCCAGAAAGGAATAAAACAGTAACGCTGACAGCTCAAGAAAGAAAACAGACTGTGTACCAAACACAATGCACTTCATCCTGAAAAGTCATGCGACAGGCCAAATGGCTCCTAAGTTAGAGGCTTTGCTGCTGCCTTCGGTCTTAAGCAAGTGCAAAATAAATCGTTTCCCACAGAACGGAGCACACGCGTGTGTGCGTGCACGCACACACACACACTCACACACACACACGCTGTAGCTGTGGGTCCAGCCACCTGCAGGAGCCCAGCCCTGCCTCCCCGCCTGGCTCCCTCTGACAGCATCGGCAGTATGACAGCCTGACTCACCCAACATGCCAACCGAAAACATTTACTGTGCTCCTCATTTGTTTGAACGGTTATAACCACACAAAAGCAGCGGAGAAAAAGACATCTGTTTCTCCCTCGGAGTGCTCCCTCGGTGTCTACAAGATGAGTCACCAAGACTTTGCTTTCAGTTCGTGTGACAATTATCCCAAAAGATCCCTTTGAAAATGTAAAATGGAGATAACTAAACCAATTTAAAAAAAAAAAAAAAAAAACGTCAAACGGGCTTAGAATATAAACAAAGAAGATTGAAGAATTGGGAATATCTGACAACATTTTAAGGGAGGAAAGAAAAAAAAAGAGGACCTATGAATTGAAGTAAAAAAGAAACACTCAAATGAGCCTTTTTTGGATGATGACGTCTCTACAACTGCAAGTAGCTTTTTCTTTAAATTATCTTTCTCAGTTCATACAGAATTAGGGCTGTTAAAACAAACAAACAAACAAACAAAATTTGACGGAGTCCACGTGGAGATCTAATTGGCTTTATTAAGCAACTCACAAATGGGGCAGCGTCCCATCCAGCAACCAAAAGGGAGCTCCCAG